CCCTCGGAGGCACCGGACGCCGCCACCGTCGGGGCTTCCTGGACGAGGCCGTTCGTAGGTCGCCCGCGCCCTCTCCAGCCCTCCTTTTTCCCACGCTTCCCCGGTCCTCCGGCCTGAGAACGCCCGAGTGAGGAGTTGGCCGTAGTGAGAGGGACCGATCCCTTGGGGCCGGCGGCGAGAGCCTGAGCCGCTCCTCCCAATGGCGAAGAAAACGTACGACCTGCTTTTCAAGCTGCTCCTGATCGGGGACTCGGGAGTGGGGAAGACCTGCGTCCTTTTTCGTTTTTCGGATGATGCCTTCAATACCACCTTTATTTCCACCATAGGTAAGACCCGTGGGAGGATGGGATTCCGTGTCTGGAGCTGCAGACCGTTTCTTTTACTCCAGACATCTTGCTGCCCGTAATATACGCCTTTGTTTCACTGATTCCGATTCCAAACGACAGACCCAAGTTACTGTTTGAATCGGCTTCGAGCTTGCTGGGGCGGGGTCTTCCCAGGCTTTCCATCCGGTCTTTTGCTTTCAAGTCTCCCTCTCTGCCCAGTGCCTGCTGTTACAAAATATGCAGCGTTTAACACGTTCCAGAATCCTATTTCTTGAGGCCACTGGACTGGCTTTCCCTGTTTGCGTGGAGTTACTAGATGTGCGATGTTTGTAAGGCGTATATTTTAGTGGTTGGGATCGAAGCAGTACCAGCTCTTCGGTGGAGGCCTGAATTTATAATTAGAGGCAGGGAGAAGATTCCGTATGGTCGTCACTTCGAGTGAACTTGAGGGTTTATGTGAAGAATAATTAGGGCAGATTAGAGGGAGAAAATGAATTGCCGCGTTAACTAAAATCCATTGATGTGTCAAACAATCGGAGGCTCTTCGTGCTTGGGGTGGGACTCTGGCGTGGCGGCCTCCGTGCTTTTCGAGACATCAACAGAAGCAGTAATCAGCGAGCTGATCAGTGCCTGTCCTCCAACCCGATGGAATGAAGTCAAGTTCTGGTATTTTACTCGACGCTAGAATTTACAGGAAAGTATTTCGCCAGTCGTAGCGTAAGGACTTCTAATGTACTTTCTCCACGTTTCAGAATTACTTAGTGTGGAAGTAAGTGCTAGGGCTTGACCTTTTGAATTGGGTTCTCATGTAGGAAAAGAAAAGGGAAGGCTCTAGGAAAGTCCCTTTGGCTCTGGTTAGAAAATGAACTAATTGTGCTGTGTTAATTGTACGTGAGCAAACCCCCCCCCCCGCCCCCCAGTTTTTTTAAAGGACACATACTTGCATCTGTCACTTGGATGCCAGCACTCCTCATTGGAGCTGTGTAATGAAACACATTTTTAGATGTAACTAATTTTATATTGAGACACTTCAAAAAAAGGGATTTCAGTCTTTGAACCCTGGAGATTGTCAAGATTAAACTGATTTCAAACAACTTACTGCATTACTGAAACTAATTGTGCTGTGTTAATTTTACGTGAGCAAACCCCCCCCCCCGCCCCCCAGTTTTTTTAAAGGACACATACTTGCATCTGTCACTTGGATGCCAGCACTCCTCATTGGAGCTGTGTAATGAAACACATTTTTAGATGTAACTAATTTTATATTGAGACACTTCAAAAAAAGGGATTTCAGTCTTTGAACCCTGGAGATTGTCAAGATTAAACTGATTTCAAACAACTTACTGCATTACTGATGTCGTTGCTTTCTTCCAACACATATCAGCTCCTTAGTTCATTCTCATAAAACTAACTGAAATTAAAGTGGACAAGTGATTATTTCAAGTAGATTTTTAAATTTTACTCACCCTTGGGGGGAAATCATAATCACTTCCTGTGTGTGATGGTCTGTCATACATTTCTTGAAACTCAGAGCCTGTTCTCTGCCTTGTGGGTTAGCATTTACCAGCACTAAGTTTGCTTTCAATATTCCACTTTCAGCTGTAGCTGGGTGGATCAGGTGGTCAGATAGGTTAGCAAATATTTATTGAGCAGCTAATGTTAGGCACTGGGATTTGTGAACACAGTAGGCCCCTTGGGGAGCATTCTAGTGAGGACAAGTACAATAGTGTGGAAAGTGCTCCAACAAGAAACACAGGCAAGGGGGTGAGAACCTAACTCTTGCAGAGTCTGAGAGAATGTCTGAAATGAGGCCTGCAGGACAAATAGCACTTGGGCCAGAGGGATAGGACCTTTCTGGAAGAGGGAGTGTAGAACAAGTCTGAAGTAAGGTTGAGAACTTAATTCATGAGGTCCACGTCCACTTTAACCTTCTATTGAAAAAGGTGGGGGGGGAGAGAAGGAAGCAAAGCATTCTACTCCAGTCTTTCTGTAAGACGTACACACCCACAACTAAAACCCAGTCCTGCACGATAATGACATAGTTTTTTTGTGTAGTCCAATTTACTTGAGAAACGGTGTGGTGGCTTTGGATCAAGCCTGCTGCATTGCAATTCTGGTTCCACAGGTGGGCATCTTTAACAAGCTGCTTAACCTCTCTCTGCTGCAGTTTTTTAGCTACTGCATAGGGTAGTTGTGAGGATTTTATGGGCCATGAGAGTAAAGCATGGTGCCAGGCACTTTGTAGGAGCACAGGGCGTATTAGCTATATATAGACTGTGTGATCCTTCTGCCGAGGTGTGGTGGAACATTTACTTTATGGATTGAATGTCCTGCATTTGGTGGACTCCCCAAGAAATATTTGACATTTTCCCATTTTGATATGGGAAGTGTTTGATATTTTGATACGTAAGATGTTGAAGTAATGTAAGCCAAGAAAAATTATAGAATTCTGATTACAGCTCAAACATAGTCATATATTAACTGTGCACAAGTTTAGAACTCTACAGTCATCTTAAGCCAGTGAGGTCCAAAAGGAATAATGTGACCTACATATATAATTTTTACCTTTTTTCTGATAGCCACATTTAAAAAAGTGAAGGACCAGCTGTAGGGTTAAGAAGGAATCCCACATGGCTGAGTTTGAGTCCTGGACCCAGTGGCTTGAAAAAGTGGGTGTGACCAAAATTCTGAAAGGTGAAGTGGAGGGGAAGGGACTGTGACATGATCACCCGCCATGGTGGGGCGTGGGGGGGCTTTCGCATTGTACATCTCTTTGTCTCTCAGGAGGGCATGTGCAAAACTTAAAACGTTAATTTATTTTAATTCATAAGTAAAATATCACTTTGTAAATAAGATGAAAAGACATGCTGAAATATTTTACATCCTCTTTCTCTGTTGTGTAAGCTATACTTACAGCTCATCCCGATTTAGATGAGGTGTATTTCAGGTGTTCAGTAACCACTAGTTCTAGTATGGTTAGTGACTACCACACTAGACAGTGCATGTCTAAACTATTTAACATCGCCAGTTGCCTAGTGTGCAGATGACCAGAAAAACTTCCAATATATACTACCTTTATGTCCTCATTTAAAATGTTGACAATCGACTAGAGTTTTTTTTTTTTTTTTTTTAATGAAAGATTATTGCTGTTGGGCAAGTGTGCCTGCCAGAAAGACAGGGAGAGACAGACAGCGAGATATCACCCCCTGGGGGGATGGCTACGCTGCAATCCCTTTTCCATTCTCCTCTCGGGATCTTGGGCAGCATGCATACACATCTGGTGTGAGTTTTAAGCCTCTGGATCTGGGACTCGAACTGTGGTTGACTTGGTGCGAGTCCAGCGATGTTACCATTACGCCATCTGCTGGTCCCAACTAGGTTTTTTTGGTTGTTGTTATAATTTAGAGCATTCTCTATCTGTAAATAATAGTGAAATTTGTGATTTGTCATTTGATTGTTAAAACATCTGAGGTTTATATAGAAGTGGTTACCTTCAGGAGGATCAGACTGCAAGATAAAACAGGCCCCCATTATTTCAAGCACTTTTTAGTTTTGTATTGGCTATTGATTTTTTGAAGAGAAAATTTTTATAGATTTATGGTAGTTACTTAAAGTGCTCAGAAAGATTACTGTATTTAAAATTTTCTGTATCCAAAATTTTCTGTATCCTTTCAGTTCATATCTATATTATATTTCTAGTCTGATTTATTGCAGACATAGTTGTAAAAACAAATTACTGGTATGTTCCACATTCAGCCATTCTCAAAGTCAGTACAAGGGTACTAGCATATAAGTTGCATAAGGCACAGATCTTTGTCTGCTTTTTTTTCCCCCCTGATATAAGGGATTTTCAAAAATTAATGACAAATACATATGAAAAACTATGAGTTTCAAAATTTTTTTGCACTGAAATAAACTCGTACTTTAATTTCATTTTCCATGACCTTGTTCAAGGCCCCTCCTATATGTTAAGCACCTAGAAAAGTCCCTGCATTTAATGGGTGCATGGTAAGTAATGAATAAAGGCAGGTAGCAGACAATAGTAGTTACAAGCCTCTTAATACACAATAAAGGCTAGCTTATTTTAATGTTTTCCTTTTTATCTGCTGTCTGAGCATTATATGGAATGGATTTGGATCAGATTTTACTTCAGAATATTAGCTGTTTGGCTAATAGAGGTTTTTTTGTTTTGTTTTTGCCGTAGGGTACTGTGCTCCCCGAGAAAGAGACAGATAGTGAGAGAGAAAGTAAGAAATCACCTCACAGGGGGATGGCCACGTCACAATCCCCTCTTCATTCTCCTTTCAGGATTTTGGGCACACACGCATACATGCGCAACATGATTTTCAAGCCACCAGTCTGCAGCTGGAGTCACGGTCGGCCATGTGGGAATCCAACACATCAACCACTATGCCACCTGCTGGCCTCATGGCTAATAGAGTACTTGAAGGGCAAGACTTGTCTCAAAAATTGAAAGTAGTTTGAAAATTAGTTGCTTAAGAGAATTACTGGTTTCGGATGAGCATGTTTCAGAGGTTGAAATTTTGATAGGTGCTACACATGGATGAGTGTTGAAAACATTATACTAAATGAAATTCACCAGACACAAAAAGACACATATTATATGAGGTACCTAGACTAGACAAATTCAGAGAGACAATAGAATAGTATTCAGAAAGGGATGAAATTCTGATACATGTTACAACATGAATGAACCTTGAAAACATACTAAGTGAAATAAGCCAGGCATAAAAGGACAAATTCTATGTAAGGTGCCTGGAGGGGCGGGGAGGGGGAGAGTGGGGCACTATCACCCAGTGGGCACAGAGTTTCAGTTTGGGATGATGAAAAAGTTTGGGAGATGGATTGATTGTAGTGATGGTTGCATAACAATGAATATATTTTATGCCTCATAATGAATATTTAAAAATGGTTAAAATGTACAAAAAGGCAAATATTATATGATTTCACATATATGAAGCATCTAAAATTGTCAAACT